AAATTCATAATTTATAGAATTTAGTAACTTAGATGGATTTTAATCCAAGTTTGAAAATCCGAGTAACGAGCAGCGAATAGTCAAGCTTTTTAGGAAAAAAGAGCATTTTCTAGAAATTTCAATTAGAAAAAGAAGTATAATTTGTTATTGGGAGAGCAGATTTAATAATATTATTACAAAATCTTTGTTTTTTTTCCCCTTTTTTGTCGATATTTTCAACAACTACCTCATCAAATATTTTCATTATTTAAGTGTCAAGTGGCCAATACCTATTTTTAAATTCCACGTCCGTTTACTTTCCTAACAATTTTTTAAATCTTATCTACACTCCATTTAAATAATATCAACGTATTATCAAAATATTGATCACAATTTTAAAACGGGTCTATTAAATAGAGTTTTCCATATAGAAATCTCAAACATATTTTATTAAAAAAAAAAAAAAATTCGTTTTGCGGTCGCAATATTTAAGATTATGAATTATCATAAAACAAATTTGGTAAGACATAATATGGTATATATATTATATTATATTGGATAGTAAATATTATGGGGACATCAAAAACATTAGGATCACATGAATCCAAAGTTAATTATTATGATTCAACAATAATGAGAGGGAGTAAGAGAATCTCAACTTTAAATTTTGGAAATTGAAAGAGACGGGAGAGGTGATTGAAGGGAGGGAGTGCCCGACACCGATCCCAGACTCGGAAATAATTCAGAGGATCCAAACCCCTCCTCCTTTTCTGCTCACCCCAAACTCTAAAGACGGGCACAACTATTCCTTGACGCGCCCTCTGCTCTAAAACTTCTACGCCTGAGTTACTGAAAATTGCTTAGAGTTTCTATGATTGAACTATCGAAAATGAAAGTGTATCGTGTTGGTATAAATAGTAACTTTCAATTATTTGGAGTGTTTTTTAGCCTATTCGTGTACCTCTCTTTTACACATGTGTGACATCGAAAAAAGAAGGTAAAAAAGTCAGAGAAGACTAATAATACAAATTAAGTTTATGAGGATAATTAGGGTGATAGTTAAGAAATTTAATATAAGTATCGTGTAAATGAAGGGATAAGATGGGTATGATTATGAATGAAGGATATGAAACCAAACCAAAAAATTGAGCATGACACCCACAAGTGTGAGACATGTAGGGCCGTTTGCATCTTTTTGATTTTTGTCATTTTGAAAATTTTTTGAATTCAAAATTTTCATTGGAGGGCGAAGTTGATTGTCTTCTTAAGACCTGAATTTAGTTAGAGAAACAAAGATTTTACATAAATAAAAAAAAGAAGGTTAGATAAGACTAAGAAAAAAAACTAGTAATGAATGGTCAATGTCAGCTTCAACACGACAACTACCATAGGATCAACGGTTTATAAAAATCTTCGGTTCTTGCAATTTCTACTTAATATTTTAATTTCATAACTAAAAAAATTGACCATTTCTACCCGTTCAAATAACTAAAATCTCGAGAAAGATTGAATTGTGGCAATTGATGGTTGTATAAGTTCAAATCATAAAATAAGAATTGTATCACCCAGAACCCTAAATATTTATAAATTTACCCTAAATTTTCATACAACCTATTCAATTACGAAAATTTAGGATTTTTATTGCTTGAATTTAATAAAATAATAATAGCAATAATTCCCAATTAAGAAAAATAACACTATGAATATAATTTTTAAAATTTATGGAAAAAGACTAATTTATTTGAAAGTAAAAATGTTGAAATTGGGTTGATTTTGTTGGTTGGATTAACATAAATTAATCTCTTTTTTGTTCCTTCATGTTATTATAAATAAGTAGGTTCAAAACAAACATAAAATTACTCATGAATTATGGTTTCATATTTATTTAAAATTCTTTACAAGTTTTATACATTAATTTGGGTGTAAAAGTTGTGTTATTTTGAATATGATTAGGTAAAACAGTGTGTGAAATGCAGAGGAAAAAGAAAAAAAATGAAGTCCATCATCAATCAATGTTTGTAATGTCTCAATATCTAGAGACACATATGTTTGAATTGTCTCTTTCCAGTAAATTCTTCAATGTTTTTCTGTCATTGTGTGAACTAAAATCACCCAATTAAGCATGCATAAGTACTTCAAAAAAAAAAAAAAAAAAAAATTTCAATCC